AACCAGCAACTGTAATAATACTTCATAAATAAGAAGAGCTTGCTGCAAAGGTTGAGGACAGATTTTGCTTAGGATGTTGCCACCTTCAGGAAATTTTACCTTATGATAATCTGTATCTGTGATATTGGGGAACATATTCCTGTTTAAGGAGCGTTAAAAATTCTCTGTTTTCAAATTATGATTTTCCTTTACCCAATAACAGAGTGTTGAATAGTACTGTTGCTATCAAAAAATTCTATTTTGGAAAGCATCTGAAATGGCCTGTGTTATTCCATTAAGAAAAAGGATATCATTTTTATGAATAAAGACATGATGTGAATTTTATATAGTTTAAAATATTATCCCTGACTTAGCAAAATACATACATCAGTACAGTACAATTTATAAATAACTAAATAATATTCCTGCTTTAAAGGGATTAAATGATAAAACGATTTACTTGTAATTTCTTATGCCTTTAATCATGTAGCTATTAATATAGTTATGCTGCATTAATTCCATAAGATGTGCTGAAGAAAATTGTGCTGTTATTTAAAAAATCATCTTTCATTTGATATTGGATTGAAATATTACTAATTATTTTGAAATTTGTTCGTGATCACAGCTCACTGAAAATGTAAATTTACCTAAATCTAAGGATTTATAGAATTTTGCAATTGCCAATAAACTCCTCAAATTTCCTCAATTCTCACCATGTCCTGAAGACTAAAATCACTGATGAATAATAATTAAAAGGCATTTCTTTAAACATCTTTCTAGGTATAGGGACACATATTTGTGTTTTTGTAGAAGTAACATTCTTTCAAAACACTCATGCCTATATAAGAGGTATTATCTTATTCTTTTTCAACAAAAATTTAATCACTGAAATTATACAGTAATTACAAAATTAACTGTTTTTTCCACTCCACCTCTAAACCCCACTCTACCTCTACTTTTTAATTAAGTATCTTTCTGTACAATGATACCATGAATGATACCACGATCCCATGGTATCCTTGATACCATCTTTCCGATACCATCTTTCTGTACAATGATACAATGAATTATAGAAACATAGTATATACACACACATACACATACATTCATGCACACACACATATATATACATACACATATAAGTTTTATAAGTTTTATTTTCGTTTTAATTTTGCAAAAATGGGGTCATTTGGAATTGATTTTATCACTTAACAACATATCGGAGATACCCACTCAGATTATTAGGTATTGATAGGTTAATTCATTCATATTAACAACTGTACAATATTTCATACACATCGAAGAATCATTCTTTATTCAATAATTCCAACCTGTTTTTTAATTTTTAAATTATCATACAGTAAAATTGATATTGGGGGTGTACAATTTTTGAATTTTAGATTTGTGTAAACCTAAAATTTACAGGTTATATCAGGTTATAGAACAATTTCATTACCTTCAAAAACTCTCATGCTATCCTTTTATAGTCACATGCTTCCTGCATCTGTAACTCTTTGAAACCACTGAACTGTTCTCAAACTGATAGCTTAGATTTTTGGAAAATGTTATATACATAGAGCCATATAATATGTAGCTTTTGAGACTACAAAAGCTAAAGTGTGATGATCTTTCACTCAGCACAATGTCTTTGAGATTCATCCAAGCTGTAGGGTTTATCAATAGTTTGTTCCTTTGATATGAATTTACCAAAGTTTATTTATCCATTAGAAATTGATGGAGTTTGGGGTTGATGGAATTTTTGATTATTATGAATAAAGGTACTATAAACATTCAGGTACAGGTCTTTCAGTGTGAAGATAATTTTTATTTCTCTCCAGTAAATTATTAATTTTGAAGAAATTGCCCAACTTTTCCAGAGTGGCTGTACCATTCTGTATTCCCAGGAGCAATGTATGAGTGTTCCAGTTGCTCCACATCCTCACCAGCACTTGATGTTGTCAGTACTTTTCATTTTAGTTGTTCTAATGGTTTTGTATTTTACCTTGGTTTTAATTTGCGTTTACCTAATGGCTAGTGATATTGGATATCTTTTCAAGTGCTTGTTTGCTATCTCTAGATCCTCTTTGGTGAAGTGTCTGTTCGAGTCTTTTGCACATCTTTATATAGGTTTTTATGTTTGCTTACTGTTGATTTTTGAGGGTTAGTCATACAGTCTTGATACAGGTCATTTATTGCATATGTGATTTGCAAACATTTTCTCCAGTTTGTAGCTTGCCTTTTGATTTCTTGGCAGTGTCTTGAACAAAGCAAACATTTTTAATTTGGATGAAGTTCAGTTCATCAATTTTTTCTTGAATGGATTGTGTTTTTTTGTTTGTTTGTTTTAATTTATTTATTTTTGGCTGTGTTGGGTCTTCGTTGTGGTGCATGGGCTTCTCACTGAGGTGGCTTCTCCTGTTGCAGAGCACAGGCTCCAGGCACGCGGGCTCAGTAGTTGTGACTCACGGGCTCCAGAGCGCAGGCTCAGCAGTTGTGATGCATGGGCTTAGCTGCTCCGCGGCATGTGGGATCTTCCCGGACCAGGGCTCGAACCCGTGTCCCCTGCATTGGCAGGCGGATTCTTAACCACTGAGCCACCAGGGAAGCCCTGGATTGTGTTTTTTGTGTCACTTCTAGGAACACTTTACCTAACCCCAGGTCACAAAGATTTAAAAAATTTTTTTCTAAATGTTTTATGATTTAAATCTAAGTCTATGATCCTTTGTCAGTTAATTTTGGCATAATGTATAACATGTAGGTTCAAGTTCATTTTCTTACCTATAGCCGTCCCATTGTTCCAGCACTATTTGTTGAAAAGACTAACCTTTTTTCCAATGAATGACTTTTGCACTGTTGTGGATCTAGTTTTAATTTGCATATTTAAGTATGTATGTACTCATATATTATTGCAAGGGAGGCTGTAATAAAAACCCTGGTACATATATCCAAAGTTAGTATTTGTGATGGATTGGTTCTAAAGTGAAATTTCCTAATCAAAATGTAAGAAATTTAAAAATTTACTAGATATTAATTAGATGACTTTCTAAAAAGTTGTAGCAATTCACATACTTACCAGGAATGAGGGAGAATTCCATTACCTGCACTTCCTTTTCATCATTAGAAGGTTTGTATTATTTATGTTTGTCAGTTTGATAGTTGAAAGATTTATATTATATGTAGCTTAAATGTTAATCTCTCTGATTTTGATGAAGTTGAGGTTTAAAGTTTTATTGGCCATTTGCATTTTTCTTTCTGTGAACTCTGTTCATATCCTCAATTGAATGAGCTCTGTAACCGTCCGGTTATAGTCAGCTGTTGTGATTTTGAGTGACAATCATTTCACCTCTGAGCCCAAGTGTGCTGCTTTGTAAAATTGTAGAAATATCTTTCCCATGCAGTTGCTGTGATATTTACATGAAAATCACAGGTAGGGAATCACTATTTGCTCAACATGGAAAAACAAAACTATTTAATTAGACTATACCAGATTTTTATTCCAGTTATTATGATCTCCTTTATTAGAATTTAGTCTCTATATCACATTGCTCTTATGTGGGTTAAGTATTTATTTCATTTCAATTAAGACACTTAGGAAATTTACTTGTACATAACAAATTTTTTTTTTTTTTTTTTTTTTTTTTTGCGGTACGCGGGCCTCTCACCGCTGTGGCCTCTCCCGTCGCGGAGCACAGGCTCCGGACGCGCAGGCTCAGCGGCCATGGCTCACAGGCGCAGCCGCTCCGCGGCATGTGGGATCTTCCCGGACCGGGGCACGAACCCGCGTCCCCTGCATCGGCAGGCGGACTCTCAACCACTGCGCCACCAGGGAAGCCCGTACATAACAAATTTACCTTCATTTATGAGATGTTCAAAATGGAAATGGAGAATATCAACTTACATAGAGGAAGACAGCAAAGGGGGTCAGGGCGTGGAAGGAAGCTCTTGACTTGAATTTTGGTTTCTTTACTTAATTATTGTGAAACCTTGGGGAAGTTACCTAAATTCCCTAAACCTTGATTTCTCATCTATAAAACGGGGAAACTATTACCTGCTTCCGTTTTGGTGAAAATTAAATGAGGTAAGGAATGTGAAGTCCTTAGCAGAGTGTCTAGCACTGGAAATTTCAAAATAAATATGTCTATAGTCATCCTCTACATTGTATTCAGTTAGCTGTAGAAAAGCAAATTATCTGGTAGCCTTGTTTTGTACATAGTCTACGACTAACCTTTAAACTTTACTTAACTGGATTACATCTATTTAAGTATTGCACTTGTTTCATTTGACCAGTTATCCTTTGTGAGGGTTAATACCTTCTAAAGACAGAACGTGTGCGTATGTGCGCACACACACCAAGTGTGCAGAGGTAGTTCAGTTTTTAAGACAATTTAAATGTTTTCATTTAATTCTTTACTCATGAGAGAATCTTCGGGTTTATAAACAAAGGAAAGAAGCACAAGGTCCCATTTCCAGTTGATCTTTCTCTGTCAAATACTTTGCAACTTGATTTTTAAAAATTGTATTCACAGAGAAATAAGGATACGTATATATAAGTGAAAGGTTCCTCAAGAAGGACAAACGAATGGATACAAGAGTTAAACGTTTTCTTCTATGCATTGCCTGGCACTTTCTTTTTAAAAACCTTTGATTGCTTACTAGGCTTTAGGGATATTTTAGGTCTTTTTTCACCTTGTTAATCATGTTTGTTTTGGAGTTATGTTTGTGTGTGTCCCTGGGTGTCTATTTGTTAAAGAATACTTCTATTCCGGCAAATAATTTCTTAATCAACCATAAAGATATTCAGAAGGCGTAGTGAGATACAGTGATTTTTATATGGTGACTTTGTAGCTCTTGACTAACTTTCTTATTATTTATAGGCTTTTTTTCCTGATGCCTTAAGATTTTTACACACATAATTATGCCATCTGTGAAGAAAAGCCATTTTTACTTCTCTTTTTTCAAACTTCAGGCCTTGTATTTATCTCAAAAAGTATTGATCAAAAGAAGCCAGACACCATAGAGTATAGACTTTATAATTTTATTCGTATCAAATTCATGCAAAGAATATGCAAAACTAATTTTTGGTGATAGAAATCAGAAAAGCAGTTACTGCTGGAGAAAGGGAGGGCTATTGGTTGGAAAGTGGCGTGGAGAAATTTTCTAGAACGATAAACATGTTTCTCTGTATCTTGATCTGGATGTTGGTTACTTGGGTACATACATATGTCAAAATTTGAACTATGCAATTAAGATTTATGCATTCTCCTCTATGTAAATCACAGTAAAAACAAAACCACATTTTTGTTTGTTTGATTTTGGTGAGGGAATATAATGCAATAGTAAAGATAAAGTCAGAGCTCTCCACGCGGTTCATTTTGGCTCAGGACTCTGTTCTTGACTGACTGGAAATAGCAACCCCAAATCTAAACCATGACACTCTCTGGAGGCTGCTATAGTTCAAGATTTACATTAAAATTTTAGACAATTAAAAACCCACTAACCAGCGGTAGAAGGAGAAATGATCGTCTCTACTAGAGTAATAGGGGTTGAACCCTCTTAATTTGAAATTTTGCCCAAAATCAAGGTGCTAATGAGAATAAAAGAGTCAATTAATACTTTTAAAATTTAGGACTCATTATACACAAATATAAATTGATATATGTATAATTACTTCTTTTGGTTAATTTGTTTTAATGGGAGATTACTTACTTTAAAACCATAAGGTGGTAAGCAGACAGTTGCTACATCCATTCATAAGTGTTAACTTAAATAGGTTGGAAACAGTCTATAATTGTGTGTGTTTATAAGTATAAAACATCTAAACACAGTCGAATAAAATGAATACTCAGCACAGCTCAATGTGCATTCTCTTTCCCAGAGAAAGTAAAGCATGTGAAATAAGTAAAACAAGTGTAAGTTACTTTAGTTGAACATTAAGTTGAGTGTAAGGGACCAGCCCCTGATAAGAGAAGAATGTGGATCTGTTTTCAGAGTTAGAACTGTTAAGGAGGTGCAGTTTGCTTTGTAAATAGCAAATGAGACAGAAAAACAGCTGAGTGCTAAAACACCATTCGCTTCAAACAATCTTCTATTTCTACTTTACTCATATACAAATTTCCAAAAGTACTAGTTTAAGAATTATTAAATCGGAAAATATATTCAATCTTTTAAAATGTGAAATAAAAGGTTTAAACATTCTTGTAAAAACATCTGTTAGATACATAGATATAAATTTGAGTTAAGAAGAAATCACACTCTTCTTTCCCCGATAGACACATGGTGCCATAAGTGAGCTAATCTGCCATCCTCCCAGCCCTCGGCATGTACAGCCATCCCTTCTACTGCTCATTCAGAATTGTTGCAAGGACTCATATTGAAACTTGAGACTTGAGAATCTCTAAAATCCTAGGAAATCCAAGATGCCTGGAAATTCCCCTTCTTGTCTGGGAAATCTCTTAAGAGTTATGGGTTCACTTGGGGCTTTCCTATTCCTCAGGCTCTGCAGAATCCATTGAACAGGGGGCTGGGGGCGGTGGCGGGGGAGGTGGAAGTCTAATTGAGCACGAATCTTTAGAACCCTTGGTATGGGAAGAAGATATGGTCATGCTGTGACTTGTCAAGAATTTGGAGCTTCTGGGTTTAGAAAATATGCTTAAGACATGCCTGAGTGCCAAGGAAAGAAGTATTTGGAGACTCCTTATTTTGTTTTAAAAACTACCCTCTAATTATGGGGGTGAAGTTCAGAGGACTCAGTAAACTTGTTTAGGCTACTGAATAACCAGACCAGGGCAAAGATTTAAATCTAGGTGGTCCCTACTCATTAAAAAAAAAAATCACCAATATTCTTTAACATGTTAAATAAAATGACAAAGTGTTCATGAGAAATATTAGCAATCTCATGCCCAATCCCTACCCATTCCTGACCTGCCTACCAAAAGCAACCCATTTGCAGTTCTGCTGCTTCTAGGATTTCTTTCCAATTTTAAATGTACTCTTCAGTTAAAAAATTGAGACCTAATCCATTAAATTCCTTTTATGGAAGATGACATGATCATTTAGCTCTCTTTAAAACCAACAAATGGAAAAAAAAACCCCAACAACAACCCTGTTTCAATACATTCTTCTCTCAACGCAACCTCCCAATGCAGCTATCCCATAATCTGGGGTAAGAAAAAATTTCAGTGCTTCCATTATTCTGACTATGTTTGTATTGTTCACAGCTAAACCACATAGCATACTATGGTCACGTTTCCTTTTTCGTGTGCAATTTTCCATTTCCCTTGGAGTTTGTTAGCAATTGTCTCACTGCTTCGATTTCTATGTACTTTTCATTAAGTTAATTCCCAGTATTTTCACAGAACTCTGAAAACTTCACAATCATTCACTCAGGTTTTTTTCTTTGTTTATTTGTTCATTTGTTTGACTTTGTCTTTTTAGTTTCCCTCCTGGGGTATTCTCTCTCAGCTCCAGTTTGATCTGGCTGTTCTTATCAGATTAGTTTTAGGACTCCACTTCCTTCTTACTCTTAGCATTTTCTGCTTCTTCTCCTTTGTTGGATCTCTTGTTCCCCAGGTCTCATGATTTCTACTTCTTGATTTATTCCTTGAAGAGAGCAGCTTCTGAGAAAAGGCGCATTGGAAATAATCATTTTGAGACTTGACATTATGAAAATGTCTTTATTTTACTCTCACACTTAATTGATTGTATGACTAGATATAGAATTCTAAGTTAGAACTTAATTTTCCTTAGAATTTCAAATATATTGCTCCATTATCTTCTGGCTTCCAGGATTGCTGTTCAAAATTTTATTTAGTGGGATTTTGGCAAAGAGAATACATATTTGATTTCAGTCAGCAATATTTAATCCTCTTTATTACACCACATTGTTCTCTCAAATATTTTCTAACTGTTTAAGCATGCCTGATTTTTTTTTTTAAGGGCAAGAGGTAAAACATTGATTTGTACTTTCAGTGAGGTGTAACATGAATAATAATTTTTAAAAAATGAAAACAAGTTTTGGTAGAGAAGAGTTATAATACAGTTGAAAAAGAAAGTAAGTAGATCAAGAGAGTTTCAGAAAATATCAGAAGAACTTTGGTGTTACTGAATACTTTATAACCTTTCTAATTGAGTAGCTATTTATTTCTTTATGGCTCTTAAATTTAAGATGGAGGCCTAAAAATTGTTTGGGCAGTTCTATAGTTTTGTTCCTATGTTACTGGAACTTTCTACAACTCAAATTCTTTAAAGACTAATAATAGACATATATTACAGAAAGAGTTCCATTGTAAAATCCTTAATTACACTTTGTGAAACACCATTTTTAGCATTTTCAGCATTTAAACCATATCCTTTAAGTTTATTCTTGTACCTTGTAACTGTTCGTATATTCAACTGGCTTAAATCCAATAAGCATCAGATTGAAAGTAAAGAGATATAGCTTCTGGTAGACCTAGCAATCTCCATCTCTGTCTCAAACATATGAAGTTTATGAAATGTAGGCTTCTTATCTCTCACATTAGCCTTTTCTTTTTATAACTTCCACTTAATTTTGCACAATGATGAAATGAGATGAGATGAAATGAGATGAATAAAATTCTATTTATAAGAAATTCTTTGTGGAAAGGAATTGAATTGTGGGGAAAACATTTCGAGGGAGTTTCTAGTTAGATACTGCAGGTTAAATACACCCCAAATCAAACTCAAATGATTTAAACAACCTAATGGGATTAAAACAACTGTCAGTGTACAAGGATAAAATAGAGAGTAAGCAAACAATTTCAACTATGTTTTAGAATGAAAACATCAGATGAACAAGGGGTATTTGAATCAGCAGATCTTTGAGAGTTGAAAGCAGAAGTAGATGAATTCATTCCTCAAAACCCCAAGGCCTCAAGGATTGGAGAAAGACGCAAATGGAGAGAAAACAAGGGTAAGGGTCAATATTTCAAGTAGTTAATACTGCATCTTCGAAATCCTTCAGAGGTGATGGATAACCCTCCTTTACCCAAGAAGAAGATTAGCCTTTACTCTCTGGAGAGGTTCAACTAGAGAGACTTTGGACTTGCAGTCACCTCCATGCTGAAAATGGGGGTTAAGTAAACATCTACATTCTGAATGGTTACATCCTAACCCTTTTCCTTCATTAGCTCAGAGATGTTGACTGCCAGCAATATTTCTCCAAGGTAGGAAAATGGGAGAAGATTCTTCCCTGGAAAAAATTTACCGGCTCTATCTCCCCACCAAAGATTTAGAGTCATTGAGATTCGGGAGTACTTGAATTTAATTTCCTAGATGGATACTCTCTAACAATGTCTATAATTTGATAAATTCTATCCACACACGCTGAACTTCTATTCAGCTTTTCATTGCCTTGTTCTTAAATATGAATGAATGGCATCAAACTTCTCAGCAACCCTGAGAGCTAGAAAACAGTGGAGATGTGCCCTTGAAATTCTTAGGGGAAATGACTACTAACTTGGAATCCTATTCCTGGCTAGACTGTTAGTCTTGTATAAGGGTAGAATAGAGAATTCTTCAGATATCCAACATCTCATTTTTTTGCTCTCATGTGTCCTTTCATAGTAAGCTAGTAGAGGATATTATTCACTACGATGAGAACTAATCTAAGAAAGAGGATGACATGGGACCAGAAATCAGGAGATCCAACACAGGAGAGAAGAAAATGCTCAGGATGCTGGTGAAAGGAAGACCCAGTACGATAAGTGAGTGTCCAGCCTGGAGGGCAAACCATTCAGGTCAGAGGAGGACAGAGTACTCTAGTGGACTTGTCTCCAAGAAAAAATTATAGACTAGTGATACATTTGAATGATTTGCATTTGTCCTAGAGATTTCAGGCATGATAGGTACATACAAATCTCAGCAAACAAACAAACGAACAAGCAGAGAAAAGCATGAGGTATCAAGCTGCACAAACTTTAAGCTCTGTACAAAACATGTGTTAGTGTTGACTGTGTGTGGTGGACTTAATGGCGACTTGGTTTAAATTTGAACATAGTGAAGTTGGAAATTGTTCATATGACCTTCAAAACGTAGTCAAGCTTCAGAAGAAATGGTCCATTGTCCCTTTACTTAGATCTTATGTTTTGTATTCTCTCTGCCCAGGATGCTCTTCCACAGGAAAATTGGTTGACTCACTGTTTTAATCATGGAGGTCTTTTCTCAACATCACTTCTGTGATCAATCTAAAAATAGCACCTGCCATCACCTCCTCTACTTCATTTTCTTCATAGGACATATCAATTCCTAAAATTACAACATTTAAAAAAATTGTTTATTTTCTGTCTGTTCTCTGTTGTGTCCCAGCACTTAGAACATTTTCTGGCATGTGATAGGTGCTCAATAAAGGCTGTGGTATGAGTGAACCAGTGGATAGTCAGCTCCATGGTAGCAGAGAATGTCTTGTTCATCATCGTATCTTCCACTCCTCACCAAGTGTTTATAGATCTAGGCATTCCAGGAACCTGTGTTGAATGAATGAATGCGTGAATGAATGAAAGCAAAGGTGAGTGTTCTCTTAAAATTTTTAATTAAAATATTGTTTTGTAACCTTTGGAGGCTTCACACAATTAAAGAGTCATCTGTGCAGTAGAACTCAGAATGACTGATTAAATACCTTCTTTCCTCCTGAGATCCTCCCATGGGGGATCTCAGAATCTGAGCAGCAAGCTCTGACAGTGTGTGTGTGGTATGTTCACTCACTCCTGAGATAGTGAGCAAATCCAAATTAGCATGATTACTAACATGGTTAAAAGTGATAAGTACACGCCAGGGTCAATGTCAGTTTGCAGTCCCTTTGGAGTTCTGTCCATGGCCAGTACTCTGCCTCTTCTCTCTCTTCTCTGTATTTGTAGATATTCATGGTTTATACAAAGTTGGCAAAGGGAGGAAATAATATTGTACATTATCTATAAATACTATAACTAGAATTCTACTTGTTTTTCTTAAGGCAATATGAACAAGAGTAAATACTTTAAGAAGTGGACCATCTCCTGAAAGTGTAACAAGCAAGTACAGACAAGCTGTGGGACTACAAACAGTTGTGAAATAGTGAACGTGAGGCCAGGGGTGGTGGCATTCTTACTTCTCTGTCTATAAATGTCTCATATTAAGTTAGTTTTCTATTTCTATTGGCTAAACATTTTTTCATTGACCTTCTTGATAAAAATGTTTATCTAATATTTTTTTCAGAAATCATAAAGAGAATCCAAATTCATTGAGATCTAAGAAAACACTGACTGAAAGAGTGCTCCATTGCTCATTTTGATGTTTTAAGAGCCGAGGGTGTGTTCTGCCTTTAATCCAGGGCCCTGCTTTCAATCAGCAGCGCTGGCAAAACAAGGAATGTAGTTGCCCCGTAGGCTGAAGGCAAGATCCTACCTGTTGTCTCTGGGAACCTTAACGATATAATCCAACTCTCTGATTCAAATAAGCTGTGGATGAAAGAGAATGAGCTCAGAAATAAAAAAAATTTCCAATCTGGGTTTATTTAAGAGTTTTACACACACACACACACACACACACACACACACATATGTATACATGAAGAGAGAGAGAGAAAGATAATTTGAATATTCTAAACTAATCTAATTTAGATACATAGATCCTATTTACATCAAAATATTTACCGTTCTGGATTACTAATAGTATTGACAAAGTTTTGGTACACATTAATAACAAGAGTGATTTAGACTTCTTGAGTGATATCTTTGTTTCGCTACTCGAGGCCACGCCTGGGCTCTGACTTTAGCCCAGGACACAGGGAGGGCAGGGAAGGCTGACTGCTCAGTGGGATAGCCAGGCTGGCTGAGCTGGAATAGCTCAGGTTATGTCATGCCAGCAGGTACCCATGTGTTTCCTGTGGACAATGTGTGGCCCATGTGGAGAGGGAGCTTGGCTGGAGCTCCTGGGAGAGGGAAGGACGCCAGCAATGTGTGCCTGGGTTGGAGGGGCCACCAGTGAAGTTGGACCTTTGCCTGTGTCCTTTGCCTGTGTCCCAGGCACCTGCAGGGAACCCCCGTATTGTTCTTGAAAGCACTTATAAGAGAAGAACTGCCAGGCCAAGAGAATGAGTCTACCAAGCCAAGTCCGAATTCTCATCTCTCCTCCCTTCCTCTACTTCATCCCTGATGGGGGTTCAAACACCCGCTAGAGAATGAGGGATGGACGAAGGATATCAGAGCAGAAGCCAAAGCACCCCCTGTGCACAGAGGTGGCCAACTATAGAGAGGCCTCAGCTGGGAAAGGGGAGAGGACTTACCTTTGAGTGAATATTGAAGAATTGATTCTCCTATTTGTTTTATATATACTTTTTTCTGTGACGTTTTGATTTCTAAATTGGGAGTGGTTTTTTTTTTTTTTTGCGGTACGCAGGCCTCTCACTGTTGTGGCCTCTCCCGTTGCGGAACACATGTTCCGGATGCGCAGGCTCAGCAGCCATGGCTCAAGGGCCCAGCCGCTCCGTGGCATGTGGGATCCTCCCGGACCGGGGCACGAACCCGTGTCCCCTGCATCGGCAGGCGGACTCTCAACCACTGCGCCACCAGGGAAGCCCGGGACTGTATTTTGTGATGATGTTGTGACTTAAGGATCTGTTCATCCAAGAATAAACAAAAGGCTCATGGGAACTGCCCCAATTTCATCTAGAGTTAGGGTAAGATTATAGCCAATGATTATATTTTAAAAGGTTGCTGGGAGACCAAAAATTAAAGTTGTATTTTTATTAAACCATAACCCAAACAAAAAAACTCTGTTACTTCATTTTCTGTATGTGGTTCTTGACTCATCTTAAGGCAATGACCCAAAATAATTAGTTTAACAAGAAATCATCCTTAAGAAAATTTATTCACTCTCCCACACTGGATAGTGTCATTTGAAATTTGTATTTCACACATTTTCTAACTTTATAAGCAAAGCATATCAGAAAGTTTCACTAGATGTGACCGAGGGTAACATCTGTACTTATCTGAGAGTTGCCTAAAGCAGTCAGACTAGATGTGGACCAGTGAGATCTGAGGTTGCTCCTTGATAAAACAACTTCCCAATAAATGGATGAAAGAACTATATGCAACAACAGTTAACACAAGGAGGTGATTATCTGGACATAAACTGAAATTTATTCTTGAAGTAAAGCCGGATCGCACAAGATTATCTTTATCAAGGTAGTAAGAATAAAGAACAAGGAGTTTTCCTTGGATTTCTCTGTTGCTCATATCCCACATCTCGTATATCAGCAGGTCCATTTCTCAGACCCATCTACCTCTCCCCATCTCCACCACTATCACCCCGGTCCAACCTCTCATTGCTTAACCCCCAGACTACATGATGGCTTTCTGCTGCTCTTCTTACTTCTACTCGTAAATCCCTAGGATCTATTTTCATTACAGCAATTGAAGTGACCTTTCAAAAAATATATATAACTAGATCACACCTTCACACTACTTCAAACCTTCTAATAATAGCATAGAGAAGAAATATGTCCATTTGTAAATCCATACATGGCCTAACCACTGCTTACCTGTCTGACTTCATTTCATACCACTTTCCCTGTCATCCACTGCTCTCCAGCCGGTCTCACTGTTAACACAGCCAGACTAGCTGGCTTCCTCTAGGCATTCAGATCTCAGTTCAGATGCCACTTCCTCAAGGAGGCCTTATCTGCCCATTCAATCACGAGACACCAAGTTGCAATCGTAACACCGTAGTTTGATTCTCTGCAGAGTAGTCATTTCCATCTGATGTTATCCTCGTATATTTATTTACAGGTGTGGCAGACAGACTTCAAGGAAGCCCCCGTCATCCCCGTCTCCCAATATTTATGCCTTTGTATAATCTCCTCCCCTTGGGTATGGGCAGAACCTCTGACTTGCTTCCAACCAATAGAATATGGCAAAAGTGATGGGAGGTCACCTTTTATTGCAAAGGGGATGGAATGTCGTCCTTGGGTTTAGGGTACATTATAAAAGATTCCATTTCTTTAGCAGACTTGCTTGAGAGACTTTATTTTTTCTGGCTTTGAAGAAGCAAGCTGTTGTGTTTTGAGAGACCCCCCTGGAGAGAGCCATGTAGCAAGGAACTTCAGGCAGCTTCTAGCAGATCAATAACCCCTGAAGTTCCATACCTGCAGGAAGTAAATGCCGCCAACAACCACATGAGCGTGGAAAAGCCCTGAGCCAGGCCCAGTCTGTACCTTGATTGCAGTTGTGTGAGACCTTAATCAGAGAACTCAGTTAAGCCACGTTGGGACTTCTGATCCACAGAAATTATGAGATAATAAATGTGTGTTGTCTTGAGTCACTAAGTTAGTGGTAATTTGTTACACAGCAAGGGAAAATGAAGACACCAGTTTCTTGTCTCTCCCCAGCTAGACTGCAAACTCCAGCATTCAGAAGAGTGCCTGTCACATAGTGTTCAAGAAATATTTGTTGAAGGAATGAATGAAAAGAATTGGATTATGAAACATTTTAAGTGACAACTGCATTCCCATGATAATTTGGTATATGAAAATTGAAAAAATGGGCCAATGTAGTAGGAAGGCACTAGGTGTCATAGTGGTCAAAGTATGGGCCTTGAAGTTGAGCAAACCTGGATTTCAACAGCAGCTCTGGTTATATTATGATTCCAAGCAAATAATTTTACCTCTGATCTTTTCCTTTCTCATCTCTTAAATGGTGATAATAATACCTACATCATATATGAAGTAGATATGATAAGGATTAAATAAGATACAGTATTTAAAGTCTCAAATATGACATATCATAGACACTCAAGAAAATTATTCTGAAATAATTTTTAAATTATTTCTCAAACCCAAATAGAAATTCTAAATATCATTTGACCCATGAAACCATCAACACTACTTTGATAAGAATTTTGGAGTTGAAGAGAAGGAGGTCATATCTGCTCTAAAGAGGAAGGATGGAGGACTACTTCTGGAGTATGAGGCTATAATTTAAAGAGCATAAACAGAGACCAAAGCACAATAAAGATTAGATTAAGATTTTAAACAACACAGGGACTTAAGTCTATCACAGGGACTCTAGTCTATCATTAAAATACTTAACATTTATTGAGAGCTTGCAATATGGCAGGCACTTTGCTCAGTGCTTTAAATGCATACGTTTACAACAACACTGGATTACAATGCTCATTTCACGGTGAAAAAGATGAAAATATTCAAGATGTGAAGTATACTGTTTTTCTTCAAATCTATATTTCCTGCCCTTTCCTTGCTCTGCACGACAGAGAACTACAGTTCCCAGGCTTCCTGTCCTCTGACTTCTGCAAGAGGTGGCCAATGGGAGGTACTTGTGGAATGTGGGAGGGTGGGAGAAGGGGAGAAGTTAGTATATTTCTCCTCTTCTCTTTCTGCTTCCTGGGGCATCTCCAGAAACAGCTGCTTCTCCTCCTTGGTTCTATCTACCGCCACATGGGCTTCTCTCCAAGGTCTCAGTTCTGCCTGGCATCGCTTCCATGGTTCTAGTTCCCACTAGGCTTCTAAATCCTTGGAAGCACCATGCCCTCCCCACAGTCTCTCCAGCCATCAGGGAGGGAGCTGCTTGCTATTGCTGCTAATCTCTGAATAGCCTTGTAGATTGACTTCTCAGCTCTGTCCAACTTCCTTCTTTAATTTCCTTTATTTGAGAGACTTAAAGTGGCTTCTGTTTCCTGGCTTTATCCTGATGGATTCACATTTCAAATATATAATTTAAACCTAAAATTCAAATAGTCTCCAAAGCTTGTGCTCTTAACAGTTAATGTACAAGATTGTTATGAAAAGAAATCAACTCCTTCAAGGGCAGGAAAAATTAATATGATTTATGCAACTATCCACAATAAGACCATGGTATAATTATATAACACTTACTATATAAAATAATATCTGAGATATTATTTTATATAATCAGGAGTCAACAGGAATCAACACTATATTATTTAGCAAGTATTATATTCATTTACAAATATTAATGCTTAATTTTTCAACAATAATTAAACTTTTTATTTAGAACTACCATTTATATTCACAATGTAATGCATGTTATTCCATGTACAACATGAATTGGATTTTGTTGAATAAAAATTTAAATACTTGAAAAGGAATAATTCAGTGCTATAATTCTACAAATTCTAAGTATTACTCCTCCGTATATGATGTAAATATATTTTACAATTAGAACATCATATAATCAATTGACATAGTTGACTCTAATTTTTCTTTTTTTAAGGATGAGTTAAGGTTTGGTAAAAGAAGACAAGGAAAATAAACTTACTTTCTATGATTCAATGGGACTACTACAGTCAAACTGATAAGGATTTTTCAAGACAAGCTCTATTTATTTTATTGTCATACCTATTTATATTTGGACTCTCAAATCTACACTTGCATATATTTCTGTTCTTATCTCATTTCTGCCATATTTGGCTTCATGATTTCTTACTCAATCAGGAGTTTCTTCTTTCATCTTTTTGAATATCCTAATCATATTTATTTTAAAGTTATTTACAGATTGCTCTTACATTTTTATTTTATCCAGAATAGTTACATTTCTGATTGTTGATTTTGTTCATTGTCTTTCTTACTGCCACGTTTGCTTAAACATGTGTTTGTTTTGGAATTTTGATCTGTGAACTCACTAAAATGCTTATTTATTCTCTCCCTTTCCCTCTATTGACCCTTTATGGGTTTTTTTTGTTGTTGTTGTTGTTGTTTTTTGCAGTTTTGAGATGACCTGGAGAGCTTCAGGCCAAATCAGGGCATATATTCATGGTTTATGGCTTTTGTGCTGTTCCTAGCAACATGCTGATCTAGTTACTAAGCTAGGAGATGTCTCAGCCCATTACTGATTGCAAAAGTGTGTCTGTTCTCCCACCTTCCCTAGTGACTTTATATAAGCCTTCATTCTAGGCAGTAATTTGAAATTTTTAAGCCTCATTTTAAAGGTGGTGGGTGTTCCTACTACAGCATCCAAACTTAGGCAGTTAACCAGACTCCAATATTCTACCTCATATGGGGCTTCTAGAAGCAAGAGTTACATATCTATAGTTTTAGTATTTATCTTCAAATTTTAACACACACACACACACACACACACACAAATCTTTTTTCTAAGAAAGTCTAGAATTATTTTGTACTTCTAGTCTTTTCCAAAATAAGGGAAGACCTCTACTGCACCTCAGCTATCCATTAGACAATGTCCTTATTTCTATGTCCACAATTACATTTATCTAATTTTTTAGCACATTCATGTATTTTTACTTTCCTTTTTAAAAAAGTATACTTTATATGTGTTAGGAACATGGCAGTGATGGATGGCAGTGTTCAAAGCATATACTTATATTGCCATCTTAATTATTGTCTAACTCTATGACTACAATACTGCTGCAAAGTTAAAGAGTGTGAAAAGATTATCACATTTCTACTGGTGTAGCTTACAGATTGTCAAAGGATTTTAGCATTTAAATGAATAAGTGGAATGGTCTTTAAAAAAAGATTTATTTAAAAATTAATGTTAATAGTGTAACATAATTAAGGGAAATATTCAAAAGAAGAAATATTCACTACTCAATATTCTTCCTCTCCTTGATATGGCTAATTTGATTAATACACAAATATACATAGAAAATTAGTGATGTTCCTTCAGTGTATTCATATTGGAAAACTACCCAATTGTTGTACATTGTTGGCCGCATCTCTCAGTATTTTAAGACTCCTCTGCAATTAATTTCAAAGCTTGAACTAAAGTTTCTGGTGACAAATTTCTGTCCTTTAAGGTGGATTTTAATTTTAACCATGACCAAAAATCATTCAGAAACAAGTTTCTGGATTAGTTCTATAATTTAAGCTGAGTGATGCATTTTTAGGTCTAAGCAAATGTTTTAGAATAAAAATTATACAGTAAGTCTCTTTTGTGACATGTAAATTGAGTCTACAAATAGTTTTAAAAGAAGTACTTTAAAAAATGTTCTATGCCAGTACTTCCCTGGCTGTCCAGTGGTTAGGACTCCATGCTTCCTCTGCAGGGGAGCGTGGATTCCATCCCTGGTCGGTGAACTAGGATCCCATGCTGTGCAGTGCGGCCAAAAAAAAAAAAAGTTTGATGCCATTATTCCAGCTTTCTGAAGCAATTACTTTGATGCAAACATTCATTAAATAGTAGATCCTGGTATATTTGTTGAAAAATCCATAAAATTACCTCATTTTCATGCCTTAAGAAGGGGACAGGGGGCTTCCCTCGTGGCGCAGTGGTTGAGGGTCCGCCTGCCGATGCAGGGGACGCGGGTTCGTGTCCCGGTCCGGGAGGATCCCACATGCCGTGGAGCGGCTGGGCCCGTGAGCCATGGCCGTTGAGCCTGCGCGTCCGGAGCCTGTGCTCTGCGGCGGGGGAGGCCACAGCAGTGGGAGGCCCGCGTACAGAAAAAAAAAAAAAAAAAGTATAAGAAGGGGACAGGATGCTTGAGTTTTTAATCTCTGGATCTCTCATGAAATATCTCTGGTTTTGAACAAGCAGCTTCAGCTCACTGGACTCAGCACCTCTCACTGTCAAAGTGGGAGTGATGGCTAGCCAGGATATGGATTTGGAAAAAGTCTAAAATTTCCTCTAATGATATATTTATGACATTTACACTCCTTCATATACTTCAAGCAGGTCCTGTCATTTGTTAACCTTTTCTAGGTTAAATAATGAAGACGCATTTTATAATTCTACATTAGATATCATTTTCCTAAACTTTAACTGTTTGATAATTTCTTCAATTCATTTTAAAGTCCAGTGAATCAAACTGGATGTTAAAGAAACTAACCGACGTATTATAGCAGAGATTTACCTTAAGGCTTTTTTTCTTTTAATTGACATTTTTGAATATGTTCAGGAGTCATGTTGGCTTATTCACAGCACTGTTTTGCTGCATTATTCTTTTTTTTTTTTAAGATGTTGGGGGTAGGAGTTTATTAATTAATTAATTTTTGCTGTGTTGGGTCTTCGTTTCTGTGCGAGGGCTTTCTCTAGTTGTGGCGAGCAGGGGCCACTCTTCATCGCGGTGCTCGGGCCTCTCACTATCGCGGCCTCTCTTGTTGCGGAGCACAGGCTCCAGACGCACAGGCTCAGTAGTTGTGGCTCACGGGCCCAGTCGCTCCGCGGCATGTGGGATCCTCCCAGACCAGGGCTCGAACCCGTGTCCCCTGCATTAGCAGGCAGATTCTCAACCACTGCGCCACCAGGGAAGCCCTGCTGCATCATTCTGCATGTGGAAAACTGGGACAAACTTCCTCCTCGCCTCCTCTCCAACCTCCCAGGCTTTTAAAACCAGGGTTTAGAGCCACATTATTACAAGTTCCTTGAAATGTGGTATAGTTTCTTTGACTTTTATTCCAGAAATGATTTTTTTTCCAATAAATGGTAAAACACCTCATATCATCACAATAGAAAAACAAAACTATAACAAAGATTTTTTTCCTTGTTTCTTGCTATTTTTTTTATATTACCAATAATAAGCGTAACAACACCTTTAGAGCCAAATTCCTTGTAGAAATTAATGAGATGCAGCTAGTGTCTGTATTTAGTGAGCCCAGTGGCATATGGGATGGATAGGCATAAGTCAGTTTAGAAAAGATAACAAGTTAGTGAAAAGTTAATAATAAAGATACTAAAGTACAGATTTGGGGAAAGTTGGTAAAAATGCCATCTCAAAATTCTAGTGAAAAAAGTAATTTCTTTGATAATGTATGTGAGATTTTAATTAATGTCTGGAATGGAATTGATAACTTGATTGATAAAAAATAAACGCAAGAGGGAAGAGACATGGGAACTTATGTATATGTATAACTGATTCACTTTGTTATAAAGCAGAAACTAACACACCATTGTAAAGCAATTATACTCCAATAAAGATGTAAAAAAAAAAAAAAGATTTTTTTTTCCTAAGGTGATTCTTTGATGGTTCACTTTTTAATGGTATTTTAATCTCTTTAAGAAAGATAAGGTAAAATGATATTCGGTGACTTTGGTGACCTTAGTTTTACTTTACTGATACGGTCCCTTCATTCCTAAAACTACAGTTCCTCAAATTTCCTTATGCCACTTACTGAACTGATCAGGGCAGACAGCAGCTATCCTGGGCTTCAAAAAACTGTGACTTGTGGAGAAGATAGCTAGGAATAGAGATAACTATGGTTTTCTCTATTTTTGAAGGAATTCAAAGACAAGCTTCTTAGATTTTCTTCCAGTTGATGATAGTGAGGGAATCATTTTCAGTTGAGATTTGTAGATTGTAGAATATGTATTGATACAGAATTTTAATTTTAATCAGCTGATTTCTAAGATTTTGAAAACATTTTTTAGGCACTGCCTTGGTTCCATCATTTTTGAATTTCCTGAATTTATATCCAGAATCTTATCTATAAATATTGCTGTTTCAATCACAAGAACTATATCTGACCTCAGTTGAAGGAGATTGAAGAAATTGCTTTAAAGTAATTTTTGCTGTTTATCTTATGCTAAAGTAGGAAAACGGGGCTTCTGCTCTGTTCTCAAGATAAAGCAACCTGTCTCGTATCTTTCTGCTTGCTCTCTTCCTGGAACCACTTCCCTGCCCCAACCCCACACATTTCAACTCCAAAACGCAACACCATGATGGTACGTGTCACTCAAAGAGCACGTGTGACCGAAAATTCCTGGCATCATCTAAATCCTTTCTTATACTAAATAGCAGGTTTATCTTATCAAACACCATCTATAGTATAACCAATGGAAGTTGAAATAACTTTTACTCCAATAGATTGTTCAGTGTGATGAATGATGGTTTCTAAAATGTTATTGATACACATATTAAAATATTCCTGGGCTCATCACTGATGAAGTGGTATCACCCTAATGATATCGATAGTATAGTGGTTTAGTTTCCGTTATACACTTTGAGTAAACAAGAATAAATTTCTAACACCATAGCATACACACACATGCACACACCCACCCCAAATAGTTGCATTAATTTTATACTTAGAGTGAAAAATGAAAAACAATATTATCCATTAGTTTTGTTTAAGAAAATTATTAGTCATCATTCATAAAGGTAATTTGCATAGCCTATACCACTGTGATAATGTCTCAGAGAAAGCTGAAATGGGATAATGTACAAAAGACACACTGGTATTTATTATTATTATTACTATCAGTATTAGCTATAGTGCTTCTATCTTAGAGGACATGATTTGAAAGAGAAATAAAGCCTTTTAGACCATCTGTAGGATCTTACATGCCATTGGAGGTTTCAGTCGACATTTTTAAGGAGCCGCTGCTCATTTGTAATGCCTTGGTCATATTGCAAGAGAATGTTTAGAATATATCAAAGTGCTAACCAGATTACCAGTTTGATTTTGCATGTTTTCTTTAGCAAGGATGAGTATCAGATATCTCTATTTAAAAAGTGGAAAAATAATAACAGTAGTTGACACCTACACACTCCCACTTACCTCATGCCTTTATAAGAATAAGTGAGTTTTAACTGAGTAAAACAGAAGTAGAAGTAAACATATAAGTGTGTAATCCCCGCTATTACACAATAGCTACACATGCTCGTAGAATCTAATGTGTTTCTTATCACAGGAGGTCTGAGGGCATCATTTGTGGTACCTGCTCTTTATGGGGCAGAAAAGAGTGAGAAAGGCATTTAAAATGTTTGGCTTCTCAGAACTCACCATGAGGAGACTATCTCTAACGAGGACTGAAGTCACTTCTCACCTGAAGGGTTGGTTTGTCTCCACACCCATGAAATCTCCTTTTCTCTGCTGACACTGCCAATTTAATTTAATTTTATGTGTGATGTAGACAGATGTCTGCCAGGAGCTGGATGGAGTCCATTAACGCTTCACAGAGGGAGGGAGGTGGTTTTAACACTTAAGTGGTAGTTGGCAGCTCTGACTCTTGGCCCTAGTTTGGGAAAAAGCCTGGGGCCCTCAAAACTTAACTCATTTTTGGTACACAGACTAATTTCTTAGACCTTTTTTCTATCGTGAGCAAGAGAGAAAAACTAAGAAGTGTTCCGCAGCTGATTCATCTTAAAGGTGGCTAAATTAATGATTAATTTAGAATAGAGCTCTCTCTCTCCCAAGACAGCAGTGATGACATGTATTGTCAGTGCTGTGATGGTACCTCGTTCTATTCCATATTCTATGCATTTTCAGAGGAAGTTAATTTCATGGAATATCTCCAAGTGGCTGAATTCTCATCCTCACCTCTCCTTAAGGCATACAGGGCAAGCAGAAGTCCACAAAGGCATATTAAAATCTGAATGAACTGCCAATTTTATATGTAATTATGATTGCAAGATTCATAATTTCTGTAGAATATAGTCTACAAAGCTTATTTCTTTCACATAATCCTTTATTTCTTCCCGGGGCTGTCAGGCAAGACTCATTCCAGTGAGCACCCTTCCAGCTTTCCTGAATGTGTTTGTTGAGTATTAGAGAAAAATCTTAGCCAACCTCCTGGGCTAACAAGCACCTCTCTTGTAATGTTTGCTGCCTTTGCCTCTGACAACTGTGATCAAGATCTCTTTACTTGCTGCTCTGTAGTCAGATTGTAGCACTTGATTGACTTATCTGGTGTTTCCCTGGGGCACAGCTGTCAGCCAAATATACCCAATCTGAGCCATCTTTTCTCTGGGGTTGCCCTCTTAATTCCTACTTCCTGTTTTCTCTTTCCTAACTAGGCCAGTTTCTAAGGGATCTTCAGGCTTTCAGTGTAAAATAAAATAATGCTTATTTTTTTAAGTGCTTTCTGGCAACTTTTTAGGAGATTTGATCAATAGACATAAAAGACTGAAGGCAGTTTTTGTTTGTTTTGTTTGCTTGTTTTTCACTCTCTTAACATAGATTTCTTTTTGAAAGTTTGCTTTAGATGAGTTCCTATTTTGGCCTCATTCAATCCCTTACCCATTAGCTTATAGTTCATTTCATTCTAAACATTCCTTTTTTTGTGTTTGCAGTTTCAACATTCTTTTAAAGACACAGGGCTGTAGAAAATGCTGTGCTTGATCAGGTAGAATAAATTAAAGAAGGGAGTGTCCTAGATGTTGGCAACGAAGACTGTCATTGTTTGACAAAGTGCAATTTGAGATTCAGCAGTTTCCTTTCCAGATTAAGAAACCGTGTCCTAAAAGACAAGTCAAATCATGAGTGCAAAAGAGATGAGAGATTTATATAAGAAATTAAATGTACATTAGAAACCCTGATGGAGAGACTCCATTTTTGTCACTTGTCAGAGACTCTACTGTGAGATAGACCATTACTCTAAATGCTTCCTGTTATCATTTTTCTTCATGTATTATTGCCTCCCAGCCCTTTATAGATTATACTGTTCCTTGGCAAATTGCCTATAGTGCTGGCCTTCAGAAATGTGGTTCCAGGGTCTGTTTTTCCACTTCCTGTTGCTCTCAGCCATGCCATATTGCTTCAGCCACGAGACCAGCCAAATGCTAGCCAAGACCATGAGGCTTGGGATATCACTGTATTTCTTTACTAGAATGGCACTCTCAGGGAGGTTAGACTACCTTCGTTTCCAGTTCTTTTCTAAAGCTCATATCTCAAAAACCTGGACGCCGACTTCAAATAAACTATTATTAGCCCAGCCTTGTGTTCAGCCTCTGATAAGTGTCCCACGTGCCATACGCAAGAAAAGGCCAGTAGCTGTTCAAGCCTTCTAAGCGTGTGGTTCTTTGAACCTTACAGAACATTTTCATAACCAAATTATTTCTTGTTGAACCCTCACAAAACTTCTATGGGTTGGATAACAACCCTACGTTACTGGGACTTAGCCAGATTCAGGGCTGGCAAATGGCCATCTCAAATCTTTATCTCCAGATTCCATTCCAGTGCAAGTGGAGTTCTTTTTTTGTTCTGTTTCTTTATCTTCCAGCGTATCTTTACTTACCACGTTCCTCAGAGGCCAAGAAAAATGTAGGAAAGAGAGGAAAAGGGCTTTTCTGATAAGTGGCAAATTTAGAGTGCCGATAGTATGAAAACACATTTAAGTTGAAAATACATTCACCATACCTTTTAGAAGCATTCTTGGAGGAGTTTTTCATACCCTGAAAACACCCACTTTGCATGGCCAGTGTCTTGGGGAGAGAGCTTAAGGAGCAAGCCAGGAAGGCTGCTGTAGCTCTCCACTCAGGGAAAGTGTGATCTCAACTATAGCCACCCCGTGGTTGGGTAATTGCAGCACTGGCTCTGTTTTGTGGGATTTCCCCTGTCTCGCCGTACTTGGGCAGGTGTACGGTGTTAAAGACAACAAATGATCCTATCTGCTGTTCACGTCCATGCTTTGTGTGCCGAGTTTTAATAAGGAAGTCTTACCTAGGTAGCCACAATGACCAGCGTGTAGTGTTCATACCCCTCTGAGATCACAGACCAAATCTAGTTTCCAATTTGCTAGATTCTACTGGAAGTGAGTTATCTGAGTCAATGAGTTTTAATACTTTGGGTTTATCAAATGAATTCAAGTCAGTTATTTCAGAAGTCAACTCAGTCCATAGTCGTACTGGCTAAGGACAGTGAGAAAATCACAGTGAGGAAAACTTTGAGTGCTTTTCAAAATGCATTACTTACAGAGCCTCACACTTAGAGACAGCTGAAATATAAATGATATATATGTACATTATTGTCCACTACCCCCAGCAGACACCAGCATGTCTACAGAGACTTTATGAAGACCCTAGAGGTTTTAGGGCTGTGGTTCTATATCCTTCGTGTTTGCCAAAAACCTGCATCTGTAAAACACTCCAGAGTTGATTCAGGTAGTCATGGCCCCTTTCAAGAAAGTCTGTTGATTTCTATTTGGAGGAAAAGGAGAAATTAAAAACAAAACCAACAAACAAGGACATCTTAGGGGATTTAACTCTTTATTCCTTTCCCCTGTGGTCCTGTCTACATAGCAGTTATTACTGCTAGGAGTCCTCTATTTTTTTACATGTTTATTCCCACCTATTCACCCATCATATATATTGCACGAGAGGAGAAACATTGTTTTACTTTGCACCAAATAAACATTGTTGAGTGAATAAAAAACAACTTCAGAGAATACCTTTATCCACCCTACTCTGTATGTATTAAAACACTGAGACCCAGTACATTTAAGTGATTTAAGAATTTTCAAAATTAGCAATGAATGAATCTGGATAAAAACCTGGGTCTTCTTACATCTCCTCTTTTCTGTGTGTTGGTTACTTTCAAAAGGTCACCTACTCAAATACATTCAGCCGAAGAGTATTAGTTGTCACTGTGTCAGGCACCTTATACAGAAAGTGCAATAACACTGTTCTTGCCTCAAGGAGTTTATTATCTTGCAAGAACAATAAAATATAGCTACTGAAACTACTTCCCTCAACGGATTGCTCCTCCAATGTGAATAAAACCACTGAATCTTTGGCAAATCCATCAGTGACACAGCAACTTGGCTCAACACACTTTGGTAAAAAGTCAATTATACTGCACAGCGTATAAATACCTTTCACCAAATTCATCTACCTGCATGTCTATCATGTAAGATATTGTTTCAGGCCCTATGGACACATGGTTAGTCTATGGCTCTTTGCATGGAATTATTGGATGGGACTTCTTGTACGTTCTGACACTGTACCATCTTTTGTCACACAATTCATTGCTCTCCTAATGGCCACCTTGAGGAAGCGGTGAGAGGGGGGACTGGAATGAACTGTGACTTAAGTTTTCTTTTCTGGGCCCTTAACCAAGGCCTGAATTTGTCTGTCTAATTATCTGAAGAATATACTTGTTAACATAGGGCAGGCAAAAATTTCATGTTGTCAGCAAAACTTTGATGGTATCAAAATAAATGTCATGTAATCTGAGCTTTTGAAGGTGGGGTTTGAGAAACCAGAAAGAAGTCTTTTCTGATAGGCAGGGGGTGAGATGTTAAGGCCTGGTGGGACTGAGTGAGGGATTCCCTCCCCACCACACAGAGTAATTGCTCAGACCACCACCAGACTGCCTAAGTCTGGTGCATGAAAGCAAAGGAAGAATTTCCTTTTCCTGGTCAATATTTGGATGAATCATGAAACAAACACCTCTGTTGTGAATCCTGCAGTCTCAGACAGATCAAAGATTACAAGAGGAGGTGCTGCTGCTGGACATTTTAATTGCTCAGGGCTAATTATTCATAGGAGAATCCACCCAGGAATGTTGCTAAGCTGGTTTGCTGGTTGTTCGGTGGAGACTTTTTTTTTTTGCTAATTCATTTCCCTATTTTGAGTTTTATTTTTTTTAACATCTTTATTAGAGTATAATTGCTTTACAATGATGTCAGTTTCTGCTTTATAACAAAGTGAATCAGTTATACATATACATATGTCCCCATATCTCTTCCCTCTTGCATCTCCCTCCCTCCCACCCTCCCTATCCCACCCCTCTAGGTGGTCACAAAGCACCGAGCTGATCTCCCTGTGCTATGCGGCTGCTTCCCACTAGCTATCTATTTTACATTTGGTAGTGCATATATGTCCATGCCACTCTCTCACTTCACCCCACCTTACCCTTCCCCCTCTCCGAGTCCTCAAGTCCATTCTCTATGTCTGCGTCTTCATTCCTGTCCTGACCCTAGGTTCATCAGGAATGTCCTGATGTACTGCCTGCACCTAGGTTTTTGGTTTTTTTTTAGATTCCATGTATATGTGTTAGGATATGGTATTTGTTTCTCCCTTTCTGACTTACTTCACTCTGTATGACAGACTCTAGGTCCATCCACCTCACTACAAATAACTCAATTTCATTTCTATTTATGGCTGAGTAATATCCCATTGTATACATGTAGTACATCTTCTTTATCCATTCATCTGTCGATGGACACTTAGGATGCTTCCATGTCCTGGCTATTGTAAATAGTGCTACAGTGAACATTGTGGTACATGACTCTCTTTGAATTATGGTTTTCTCAGGATATATGCCCAGTAGTGGCATTGCTAGATCATATGGTACTTCTTTTGTTTGTTTGTTTGTTTTGTTTTAGAATCATGGAATTTATTTTTCTCAGACAGGCCTGTAAAGAGAAAGTGAAGACAAAGGGTTTTGTTGCTCTGAAAAGCAAGTGAATTGATGCCACTTACAAAGTGACAGAGTTACAAAACGAAGTTAATGAGGTCAAAGATGGTGAATTTATACACACAGGCACTGTAATGAGTATTATAACCTGGATGATAGACCCAGTTTCTTAAAACAAACATTCTAACAAATGCAGTTTTCTATAACAAACATAGTAAATTCAGTTTCTCACAGCAAACATGAAAAACAGGCTTTGTAATAATCCTGTGTTTGAGGTTAAGTATTATATTCTTTTAGGATATTTCCATTTAAAAAGCAAATTATCACAGCAAACAGACCTATCAGAAACTCAATTTCAGGAAGGTAGTTCTATTTTTAGTTTTTAAGGAGCCTCCATACTGTTCTCCATAGTGGCTGTATCAATTTACATTCCACCAAGAGTGCAAGAGGGTTCCCTTTTCTCCACGCCCTCTCCAGCATTTACTGTTTGTAGATTTTTTTATGATGGTCATTCTGACCAGAGTGAGGTGATACCTCATTGTAGTTTTGATTTGCATTTCTCTAATGATTAGTGATCTTGAGCATCCTTTGTTGGCAATCTGTATATCTTCTTTGGAAAAATGTCTATTAGATCTTCTGCACATTTTTGGATTGGGTTGTTTGTTTTCTTAATACTGACCTGCATGACCTGCTTGTATATTTTGGAGATTAGTCCTTTATCAGTTGCTTCGATTGCAAATATTTTCTCCCATTCTGAGGGTTGTCTTTCATCTTGTTTATGGTTTCCATTGTTGTGCAAAAGCTTTTAAGTTTCATTACATCCTATTTGTTTATTTTTGTTTTTATTTCCATTTCTCTAGGACGTGGAACAAAAAGGATCTTGCTGTGATTTATGTCAAAGAGTGTTCTTCCTATGTTTTCCTCTGAGAGTATTATAGTGTCTGGCCTTACATTTAGGTCTTTAATCCATTTTGAGTTTATTTTTGTGTATGGTGTTAGGGAGTGTTCTAATTTCATTCTTTTATATGTACCTGTCTAGTTTTCCCAGCACCACTTATTGAAGAGACTGTCTTTTCTCCATTGTATATTCTTGCCTCCTTTACCAAAGATAAGGTAACCATATGCACGTGGGTTTATCTCTGACCTTTCTATCCTGTTCCATTGATCTATATTTCTGTTTTTGTTCCAGTACCATACTGTCTTGATTGCTGTAGCTTTGTAGTATGGTCTGAAAACAGGGAGCCTGATTCCTCCAACTCCGTTTTTCTTTCTCAAGATTGCTTTAGCTATTCGGAGTTTTTTGTGTTTCCATACAAATCGTGAAATTTTTTGTTCTAGTTCTGTGAAAAATGCCATTGGTAGTTTGATGTGCTGTAGGATTCCGTTTGCTGGTATTTTGCTGAGGATTTTTGCATCTATGTTCATCAGTGATATTGGCCTGTAGTTTTCTTTCTTTGTGACATCTTTGCCTGGTTTTGGTAGCAGGGTGATGGTGGTCTCACAGAATGTGTTTGGGAGTTTTCCTCCCTCTACTATATTTCAGAAGAGTTTGAGAAAGATAGGTGATATGTCTTCTCTAAATGTTGATAGAATTCACCTGTGAAGCCATCTGGTCCTGGGCTTTTGTTTGTTGGAAGATTTTTAATCACAGTTTCAATTTCAGTGCTTGTGATTGATCTGTTTATATATTCGATTTCTTCCTGGTTCAGTCTCGGGAAGTTGTGTTTTTCTAAGAATTTGTCCATTTCTTCCAGGTTATCCACTTTATTGGCATAGAGTTGCTTGTAGTAATCTCTCATGATCCTTTGTATTTCTACAGTGTCCTTTGTTACTTCTCCTTTTTCATTTCTAATTCTGTTGATTTGTCTTCTCCCTTTTTTCTTGATGAGTCTGGCTAATGGTTTATCAATTTTGTTTATCTTCTCAAAGAACCATATTTTAGTTTTATTGATCTTTGTTATTGTTCCTTCATTTCTTTTTCAATTATTTCTGATCTGATCTTTATGATTTCTTTCCTTCTGCTAACTTTGGGGTTTTTTTGTTCTTCTTTCTCTAATTGCTTTAGGTGTAAGGTTAGGTTGTTTATTAGGGATATTTCTTGTTTCTTGAGGTAAGATTGTATTGCTATAAACTTCCCTCTTAGAACTGCTTTTGCTAC